GGAGCAGAAAGCCTCATCTTTATCCCGCGGAAAGACTGGTCATTTCGAACTGCAGGCCGATTCGCAATCACTTTGCTACCAGAGCTTCTTTGTGTTTAGAGTGTTGTTGATATTGTAGAGTGCCACTGAGTCAGTTCTGACCCATTGCGTGACCCTGTATAGGATTTCCGAGGAGCCTTTGGTGAGCTTCAACTGCCAGCGTTGTGGTTCAAACTGACTTTGCAGTCCAGCGCATTAACCCACAGCGCCACACCAGGACTCGGTTGTTGAAAGTAGAACTGCTTTATAGGATTTTCTAGGCTGAGACCTTTTGGAAGCTTATCACCAGGACTATAACCCAACAAGCCTCTTGTTGTTATTAAGTGCTGTGGTTCCGACACATAGCGAACCTGTATAGGGTTTCCAAGGAGCGGCTGGTGAGCTTAAAACACTGACCATGCGGTTCAAATCAACTTTGCAGTCCAGCGCATAAACCCACTTTGCTCCCAACCTTTGCATTCCAATCACCAGTAATGATCAATACAACTTGATTGTACGTTTGATCAATTTCAGATTGAAGAAGTTGGTAGAATTCTTAGGGTGGAATGAGGAAAATACCTAGAGACTCTCCCCTGGGGGTTAGCATTGATTTCCTGCTCTACCAGTCAGAAATCATCAGTCAGTTTTTGATGACTCCAACTTCTCAAATCCTTTGAATTAAGGACCTTGATCTTCCTTGTGGGGTTCTTTGTTGGAAGTAGACCTGCCAGCAAGACTGCATCTTGTACTTCTTGATGAACTGTGGTGCGTGTAGAGTGCTTTCACAGGCATTATGCCATTTAAGTCTCACATGAACTCATCCCATTGGTGACATTTTCCCTATTTTACAAATGAGCAACAGGAGGAAGTGTTACTCAAGGTCACAAAGATTACATTTTGAATGGCAGGGCCAACTTGAGACCCAGGTCTTTGACTTTCCAATCCAATGTTTTTTTTTTTTTCATCACTTGCTTTCAGATCTGGGAAATCAAGGAGAACTACCATCCTGGTTCTTTAATGGCAGACCCTTACTTTTTTTTTTTTCTAGACCCTTACTTTTGTTTTCTTTTGAACACTGCAACAAATCATAGCTACCTTTTTCCTTCTCATCCATTTCCCTGGCTTCCATTCCCTCAGTTGCTGTAAGAGGGCACTAGGCCTGACCTCTCCCACTACTCTTGGGTGAATTTTTGGTACTATAGGATAAGTACTGGACTGCTATCCACAAGATTGGTGGTTCAAACCCAATGGCCACTCCTCAGAAACCCTATACAAGGTCACTATGAGTCGGAAGTGACTTGATGATGCTTAACAACACAAAAGGGTTTCTGAGACTGTAACTGTAAATCTTCACTGGAGCTGACAGGCTCATCTTTTTTCTGTTGGTGAGTTTGAATCACTGACCTTGTGGCAAGCAGTCTAGTGCTTGTCCTACATTGCCACTGTTGTTGTTGTTGTTGTTAAGTGCCATCGAGTCGGTTCCGACTCATAGCGACCCTGAACAGGGTTTCCGAGGCTGTAAATCTTTCTGGGAGCAGAAAGCCTCATCTTTCTCCCGCAGAGCAGCTGGTAGTTTCGAACTGCTGACCTTGCGGTTCGCAGCCCGATTTGTAACCACTACGCTACCAGAGTTCCTTTACATTGCCACTAGGGCACCTTAAAGTTAGGAGATGGAAATTCTTCTGGTCCTGGTCTATGGTAGGAGGCTAGGCTGTCTCAGAGAATTGACTTATCCTCCTTGGGCTTCAGCTGTCTCTTTGTTATTCTGTCAGTGGTTGATTTTGCCATTTATTTACTTGAGTTTTCAGACTGTAACTGGAGCTTGGAGGGATGGGAGAGGGTAGGCACAAAGGAGTAATTTCAAAAGGATAAAAAAAAAAATAACCCATGCGAGTTTGGAGTAGATATCTGAGGTACAGAGTTGAGGTAGGCTGAATGCTTTCATTTGCAATTCTCCTCCTTAAGGAGGAGCTTAAATATGTTTGTTGTTGTTGTTATGTGCTGTGGAGTCAGTTCCGACTCATAGCGACCCTGTACAGGGTTTCTGAGGCTGTAAATCTTTATGGGAGCAGAAAGCCTCATTGTTCTCCCACGGAACAGCTGGTAGTTTTGAACTGCTGACTCTGAGGTTAGCAGCCTGATTCATAACCACTATGCTACCCTCAAGTCGGTTCCGACTCATAGCACCATTCTCATAATTGTTGCTACATTTGAGTCCATTCCTGTTGTGACGGTGTCAGTTCTTCTTGTTGGGGGTCTTTCTCTTTTATGCTGGTCCTCCATTTTACCAAGCATGATGTCCTTCTCCAGGGTCTGGTCCCTTTTATACAATGTCTCACCATTCTGGTTTCCAAACAGCATTCTGGCTGCATTTCTTCTAACACAGACTTGTTTGTTCTTCTGGCAGTCCACAGTACCTTTAATATTCTTCTCCAATCCCATAATTCAAATGCATTGGTCATCTTTCACATGCATATGAGGCTATTGAAAATACAAAGGCTTGGGTCAAGCTCACCTTAGTCCTCAAAGTGATATATTTGCTGTTTAACACTTTAAAGAGCTCATTTGCAGCAGATCTGCCTAATGTAATAATCTTTTGAGTTCTTGAGTGCTGCTTCTGTAAGTTTGATTGTAGATCCAAGCAAAATGAAAACTCAAATAATATTTTGGCTTTTCAGTTTTGTTTTGATGAATGGAGTGAGGATGCGGAGTACAGATTGTTTTGGGAACCACAGAATCAATAAATATAGGAACCTCTCATGTACATCTAATCCCACTTGTTCTGAAATGTCTGAATTCTGATTCCACTAGACTGCTAAACAAATTTGCTGTCCTGTTAGAATCTGAGTGTCAAAAGTGTGTGAAAGTTCAAACTTGGTCAAGGATTTTTTTTTTTTTTTTTTAATGGATCAATGTTGCGGCTTTCTTTTTATTGCCTTCTACAGTCAGGGAAATCTTGACCTACCTACATTGTTCTATTAATGCCTTCCATGGTTTATAGGGGCAAGTTGGCCTCATTCCTTTACATTTGCCTACGACCCAACAGCAGTTAACAACATCAACAACAACAACTATAATGGTGGTGGTTGCGTGCCACCCTCTCGGCTCTACTCATAACGATTCTGTGTAGGGTTTATGATGAAAGGTTAATTCATTGGACTACAAAGTTGATTTGAACCTTAAGGCCGGTGATTCAAGCTCACCAGCCGCTCCTCAGAAACCCTATACAGGGTTGCTATGAGTTGGAACTGACTCGATGGCTTTACTATAATATATAATAAACTTTTACGGGAGCAGCAACTCTCCCACAGAGTGGCTGGTAGATTCGAACTACTGACTTTGCAGTTAGCAGCTCAGCTCATAATCCATTACGCTACTAGGGCTCCTTCCATATGCCAATCTATTTTCCTCTTCCAGGAAATTCAGAAATACTGATGTATCTGTGCTCTTATACTAAACCAAGCAAGTTAATCAACAGTTATCATGTCCAGCATCTCATCTAAAACCTAATTTCCCGATGTTTTTGTTGTTAAGTGCCTTGGAGTCTGTTCCCATTCATAGCAACCCTATATAGGGTTTCCAACCATCAGCTGGTGGGTTTGAACTGTGACCTTGTGTTTAAAAGTCCAGTGTTGATCCACACCATGAGTAAGAAAATTTTTTCTAGAATAAGTGTGGCAAAATTATAAACACACATGGACAAGTGAGGTAGTGCAGAGTAAGATAAAACAAGAAAACTTTAAAGTGACATTCCATAACACTGAGAAATGAGAGATTGGGAGAAAGGCAAAGTAAAGTGCTTTCAAAATTGATAGGATGATTTCCAAAATCAGTTGTGTGATTTTCAACCAGCATTTAAAAATGATATGCAATAGAATCTTTAAAATACAAAATGCATAGAATGAAACGATATTATTTCCAAAATATTTTTTCCTTATGTATTTATCTAGATGTGGTGGTGCTGTGAGCGACCCTGTATAGGGTTTCCGAGGCTATACATTTTTACCAGAGCAGAAAGTCTCATCTTTCCCTCTCATACCAGCTGGTAGTTTTGAACTGCTGATCTTGAGGTTAGCAGCCCGACTTGTAATCACTATGCTACCAGAGCTCATTTATCTATATGTAATACAAATAATTATCATAGTACACACACACAGATTCATGCTCTGAGTTGTTTTGTAAACTATTTGTCACTATAGGTCTTGATCCAAAGTTAGAAAGTCCTTGACCCAAATGGACTCTCAAAAGGTAGGTTCAAGGTCAAGTGACAAAGTCTCCTTTTTCTGCCTTCTGAGTTCCAGAGCAGTTAATAGAGGGAGAGGAAATGGCGTGTAGGGAAGGAGGGACCAAAGGAAGGTCAAGCAAGGAACAAGGGCACTTTCAGACACTGAGGTGCCAAATGCTTTCTGCCAGAATCATCTGGGAGGTATGATTTTTGAGCACTTCCCTTAAATGCTAATCCGAAAGAACTTCCTCGTTCCCTGTTCCTACAAAGGTGAAGGATTCCCGCCGCTTCAGAAGGTGACAGCACACGGAGTCAATCTTTATGAAAGAGGTTATTATGATTACACTCCAAAGCGAGGTATGGGGAGGTGGGTGGAGCATGGGAAGCGCGGGAAGGTCAAGCCTGGTGGGACCACACAGCAACTCAAACAGTACTCCGTACAGCCCACCGACAGAATAACCAGTTCTGCACCCCAGGGTGGGGATATGCACTTTCTGCCGGTCTTCAGCACCCGCGCCCTTCACCGCAACTCCTGCCGCCTGCGGGCTCTGCTGCCGGGTTCCCCCCCCCCAACGTGACCCTCCTGAGCTGGCCAACCACCTCAGCTCTGCCTAAGCCCCGCCCTCATGACGTCCTCCGACCTCATTGTCAGAACAGCTCGCCTCTTTCCATGCGGGCTCATTGGCCGCTCTAGAGGACAGCGCCCCCCTTGGCTCCGCCCCCGGAGGCCTGAGGAACGAGTTTTGGGGCGGAGCCTGGGCAGGAGGGGCGGGGTGAGAAGGTGCCGCGCGGGTAAAGGGGCCGCTTGGAGCGGTCTGAGCGTTCAAGCGGTCGCGCGCGACCTCACACACGATCTCGTCGCTCGCCCCTCCTGCCCGTACAGTCACTCGGGAAACGGGCCGCGAGCGCCAGCCCATACGAAGTTGATTCCATGGCAGCCGCGAAGAAAGCAGACTTGGGGCCTTTGGTGGGGGCGGTGGACCAGGGCACAAGCTCCACGCGATTTTTGGTGAGTCCAGGGTGACATTTGAAGAGGCGGGAGACAACGGACTGGGTGCGCGTTCTGCTTCTGCCCCGGCCGCTGAGCGAGGGAAGGCCGCAGGCCACGAAGTGGGACCTGCCACATGGAGGCTATCCCTCCTGGGCCTGGGGGGTGGGGGGGGATCCTTGGCGTCTTGCGACCCCTGAGAATGAACTGAGCTAACCCTGCCTCGGTGGTGGAGCAACTTCTCCGTTAAAGGTAGCATCCACTCTGAGCGTCAGCCTGGGACAGGTGGCCACATTGACCGCTATTGCGGTCTTCCCGTGAACATTTGGCCTGCGGGCGCAGGACGTCCTTGGGTAGGGAAAGCTGTGTCACGGCCATGGTAACCTAACACAACGTCCTTTGGAGCAGTAGAATGAATAAAGTATTGGGATGATGGTGCGTTGTCATCCATCCTCTTCCCACAGAAAATGCAGAAGAGGGTAGCAGAACAAATTAGGAAACAGTCCAATACACAGCTTTGGCCAGAATCTTTTATTTCAAAGACTCACGATTTTAAGTCTCTTACTTTACCTATTACAAAAATCCTGATGGTTGTGGTCTCCCACACTTCACAGGATAATGTAATCAGGAGATTCTGTTTCTCATAATACTACCATATTATGATGGGTGTTTTACAATAGCGTAGTGCTGTTTAAGAGTCCGCTTAGAGACTTCTGTGGTGACTGATTTGTTTTGTGCAGTTAAGCAACTTGCTGCTAGAGTGATCTAGCTCTGAGTTCAGTAAGATGATTTAAAAGTCATTTAAGTGAATATTTGTCATTTGTCGGAGAGCCTATGCTTTGAATTGCCATTTGACTAACCTGATAAGTTGATGTCAATATTTAGTGATTCTTTAGCTCCCTCTTAACCTCAAATTTTGTATGTGTGTGTACATTATTTAGCATGTGTCTGTATGTATGTGTTTGCACACAATATATACATTATATGTTAATATATATGCATATATACATGTATATGAAGTCCTTCCATATATGTATGTATATAATATATATGAGAGAGAGTCCTGGTATGGCACTGTGGGCTAATGCATGCGCTGGACTACAAAGTCTGTTTGAACCACAAGGTCGGTGGTTCAAGCTCACCAGCCAAGCACTCCTTGAAAACCCTATACAGGGTCGGTATGGGTCGGAACCAAACCAAGGACACTTAACAACAACACACACACATGTATATGAGGGGGTTCAAGAAAGTTCATGAAAAAAAATGCCTATGTCTTTTCATTCCATTTTTTCATGAACTTTTTTGAAGCTTCCTTATCTATACACAGATATCCATATATTCAAAGTTCTGTTTAGCTGACCACTAGACTAAAAACTCTCCGTGCATTGTTCCTGACATTTACCTGTTTTCTAAAGTGAGAAGTTTGCAATCCCATTTTCGTTTCTTTTTTAATGACTTAACAATGATTTGAACTGCCAACATAGAGTTCCAGCATCCCTTCTTGCATTGTTTTATCTTTTGATCAGCCCAGGGCAGGTTTCGCTTTGTCTTATATTCATATAAGCATTTAGAAAGTATAATCTTGAATCTTAAGTAAGAAAGTCTGCCTATCTGGATATGATTAGTATGTAAAATACATAGTCATCATCTTCCCAAATTAAGAAAGACCATTAAGACTTGTGTGCTATCTAGCTGTGGGTTGGTTTTAAAAACTGTATTCAAGAATTGCCAACACAAATACCTGTGAAGGGCTAGACAGAAGGTTGGAGGTGGTGGCAGAATGGAGAGCATGCCCAAGCCAAGGGGACAGCCAATGACTAGTTGCCAGGCAGGAACTCAGGCCCGTGTTGTACTCTAATTTAATGAACAGACCTTCAGATACATTAAGAAAAGCTGACATCTAGAATTTTCAGTGAACCCTCCCACTTTAATATTAGCAGCTAATTCAATTCATAAAGCACTGTGGGGGCTAACCCAATTGTTCTCAAGTTTGTAACCTTTGCCCTATATGAAAGTGGGTAGAATATTTCATAACTTTGTAGACTTCATTTTTCAGAGCCAGCTTTACCATGCTTGCCTTCATGATTGCTGTTCATGTAGCCCAGCAATCTTATTTCTCCACTGCAGGTCGTTACTATTACTAGTCACTCAAATTCTGTTTTTCCAAAAGGCAACTTTCTACATGAATGGGGAAGGAGTTTCACACCAATGGTTGCCTTATTATAATTTGTTCAGTGTGTATGACAAACAGCATGTGCCTTAGAAAGTTTTAGGTCCTGTTTACTGAATTATATGGGGTATGATCTCAATGAGTAAACTAAGGTGCAAATTCAGAAGATTTCCATTCTGCTGATAGAAAGATACATAAAAGTTTATCAGTGGTCTTGCCTTGAGAAACAACTATGCAAGAATTCTTCAGAGGCAGATAAAAGACTTAGAGATCCTGTGTGAAGTAGAGAAAATTTTGGGGTTGGTTTAACAAGTGTCCCTCCCCCCACCCCTGCTTTGCTTATAAGAAAAGTAGTTGTTAAGCCACTCCCTGTAAATGTAGATAATAGATTTGCTGAACAAGTACTTTAATCACAAGAAGATTCCCAGGAGTTACTCAGTCACATTGTTACACGTTGTAATTATGACTCAAAAAAAAAAAAAAAAAAAAAAACTGCTTACCTTATCAGGAAAGACTATATAGTGGTTAAGAACTGTCATAAGGAAGCTTATAAATTTCAAAGTATTTAAATAATCTCCTGACCAGGCTCATTACATTTGCAAATTTAGTTAACCTTTCACAGTTCACAAGACCTAATAGCTTCCCCAAGCTTTCTTCACCTTTTTTCTCTGCTAGCACTATTAGCTTTTTCCATAGGGGACCTAAGATTTCTTTTCCATCCAAGGGGAATTCCTCTTCCCCATATCACTGTATCTGCTGCTTGATCTGGGTATGTATGATTATTTCACCTCTTTTGTTTTAGTGGTGGAGTTCTGGTGTGACACTATAGGATAAACACTGGACTGCTAACCGCAAGGTCAGTATGCTGTTCAAGCCTGCCAACCACTCCATGGAAACCCTATACAGGGCTGCTAAGAGTCAGAACCAACTCGACGGCACTTATCGACAACAACAACATTTCAGTGGTGGTTGTTAAGTACCACCGAGTCCGTTCCAACCCATAGCAGCCCTGTATAGGGTTTCCAAGGAGTTGCTGGTGAGCTTGAACCGCCAACTTTGAGGTTCAAACCGACTTTGCAGTCTAGCGCATTAACCCACAATACCACACCAAGGACTCCCTGCAATTTTAGAACATGCTCATTTCTTCTTCAAGAATTGTGAAAGAATTCATCTTGAGACTCCATGCATATACTTTGCACTAAAGGAAAATTTCTAACTTGTTTGATAGGAAAGTAAAGTGAGGTTGGTTACTCAGATTGCAGAGCAGGAACTTCTTGGAAAGAGAATAGTGTAACTGGTTTTAAGGAGTGCCCACTACTTTATAAGACCAGAGTTTCAGTTTAAATACACAAGTTCCCTCTTTAATTTGGTAATGCAATCTTTTTTCTTCTTCATTAAGTTGAATGTAAAAAGGCAAAAAAAAAAAAGAAAAAATGTGTCAGGTACCGAATTGAGAACTTTTCTAGCATTATCTTATTTAATTCTTCTAACAATTCTAATGTAGTTAGTATTACTAAGTTTCTTTTTCGTAAATATTAGTCTGAAGCTCAGGATTGTGGCCAAGGTCACACAATAACTGGAAGAACCATGTCCCTCACACTGAAGCCTTCTTTTCCCTAGTGTCAGTTCTGGTGATGGTCACAACTGAGTCATCACACACACACATAAGACTCACAAATTGATTTCATTAAGTTGTAGATTTTGAATTAGTGCTGTTGGTTACTATCATCTTATGACTCAGATTCTTTGGGTCCAGGGCAGGGCTCAGGTATAATCACTGTGGATAATGGTTACATAACCATTTTGGTCCAACAGCCAGCATACATGAAGAATGACTAGAATTGTAGTTCCGTGCTTGTTTTGGCAGGAAACATTGACTTGGCCCCAGTTGTCTCATCATACTTAGAGATCTCAGAGATTTATGTATATTTTCTCTTTCTTTCACTTATTTAGTGCGTATTCATTAAGCACCCCTTTGGGCCTGGGGAGCTTGGTGGCTCCATTGAAAAGCATTGAACTGCAAACCACAAGGCCTTACGGGTTCGTAGAGATGAGGCTTTCTGTTCCAGCAAAAGATTTAAAGCCTCAGAAGCCCTATACAGGGTAGCTATGAGTCGGAACAACAGACTTGACAGCACTTACCAACAGCAACAACAAATGGGTCAGGAACTAATAAATTTGGTCAAACTATTTTGGTTCATAACTGAATACAGATACTTTTGTGACGATAACTATAGTTGTGATTCTTTTGACTTTTTTTTTCTTCATTAAGTCTTATTTTCTTGTCTGTCAAATTACACAAAGTGCATGCACACATTCTTATCCAAGTTGCCACCCTCTCAGGAGTTTTCAATTGCGAACTCTTTGAAGGACAGAATAGTGTCTTTTTTCTTCCTCTCAACTTAACACAGCATCTGGCATGAGGCAGATGCTCATTACATACATATCAATCAGCAGAGAGGGGCCTACAGGACTCAGATGTGTTGAATAGAAAGAACTCTTGGATTAGAACAAGACTGTTCTGACTTTCCTCAGCAAAACTTGGAGGGTCTTGGAAAAAGTTGAACTCAGCAATTAGAGCTGAAAGCATTGGACTGCTAACAGACATTTTGGTGGTTCCAACCCAGCAGCCTCTCAGTGGAAGAAACATGGGGCAGACTGCTTTCATAAAGATTTACAGCTCGTGGTCCTATAGGGGCTCTGGGAGTCAGAACCCACTTGATGGCAGTGGGGGTTTTGTTTTGTTTTATATGCTATTGAATTCATTTTTAAGAAAAATAGTATGCCATTGGCTGTTTTCTGTGGCTTATTGGAAGATGTCATTATACTTTTGTGGTCAAATTTGCAATTT